CGAAATCCGTCGTGGGCACTACCAGGTCGTCAATGTATGTCAGTACAATTTTCTCCACGATGAGGTCTCTAAACGCGGTATTCACGAACCTTTGGAAGACAGCGGGTGAATTGCACAGACCGAACGGGACCTTTAAAAATTCATATTGGCCGTCGGGCACAATAAAAGACGTGTACTTCCGGCTTTCCGGTTCAACCGTGACATGACAAAACGCGTTTCGCAGATCTAATGTACTATATACAACATCATCTCGAAGAAGGTCCAGTTGATCTTCGATCAATGGAAGGGGATACCGATCTCGAACGATCTTGGCATTTAATTGCCGGTAGTCGACACACAGTCGGGCAGTGCCGTCCTTTTTCTTTACCAAAACTACCGGGCTCGCATATTCCGAAAGAAAAGGTTGTGCTATGCCATCGCGAATCCATTCATTAATTTGTCGATTGACCTCCTCCCTTTCGGAGGGAGACAACCTTCTCGGCGGCTGGTATACCGGTTCGTCGTCTTTTAGAATTATTTTCATTGTAACGCCTACATCGCGACTCCTATCAGGCTCGTATTCGCGAACGGCTGTTTCCACATCTTCTCGCAATTTCACGTTTTCAACGTGAAACAAATCAATCGCGTCGCGATCGTGATCGTGTTCGTGGCTAATGTACATGATTTCGGGCGTACTTTCCTGCGTGTTTGGTTGCTTTATCAGCGTCATTTTTCCGCCCTTGACTGACCATTCCGCAGCGTCGATAAAATCAAAGCCGAGTAATACACCATACTCTAAGACTACCCCCTTCACGACACGTAGCGTAGCTTTGCGAGTTTCGCCGTCGATCAATATTTCCGCGTTGAATTTTCCGAGCGTTCGGTATTCATCCGAGCCTATTTCTCGGAGAAACATTTTTTCGACCGTTAATGGCGGCGCCCCTATATCGCGATACACATTTTCGCGGATTAAGGATACGTCGCTTCCTGTGTCTAGGACGGCTACCGCGGCGCACCCGTTCGCGCGAATATCTTTTCTGTATTTGCTTTTTGTCGATACCGTGACAGCGAGGACGTTTCTAGCGCTTATTTTTTTTGTCGGGCAATCGCGAGAAATATGACCATACTCATTACACTGGAAACACTTACGACCTTTGTTCCGAGCGGGGCATTCCGGTGTAGGATGTCCCCGGTCGCCGCAGTTGGTGCATCTCCCCGTTGCGTTATTCGATGGACCCTCAGTTCTCGTCGATGCACTTTCCCCCTTAGGTGTTGCGTGAATCGCCCTTGCCCGGAGCGTGATCCTACCAAACACCTCCAATAAATCGGCCTTCGTCTTGAATCGTTGGAGGCGTGCCTGGTCCTGGAGAACAGGATCAGGTATCCCGTCGATAACGCAGTCGATCAGCTCCTCCTGGTCGATGGAGATACGATTTGCCAGAATCACTTTCTGGTGCAGGTAGTCAGCAAAGGTTTCTCCTCGGTACCATGCTCTTGCCTCGAACTGCCGCCTTGCTGCCAGCCGATTCGTCCTCTGGTGGAACATGGACTCCATTTCCCTCAAGAGGACCTCGATTGACTACTCCATGTGTTCCGGCCGGGAGCGGAACCAATCCAGTGCCTTTCCTCGAAGTTTCGACACAATAAGGATTCGAGCAGTGTCGTCCCGCAACCCATACGTGTCGCGTAAGAGCCAAAATTGTCTTGACCACGTCTCAAAGGCGTTTCCCGAACCGTCGAAGTGATTGATTAACCCTTTGCACTCCGAGTGTTTTTTTACTCAAGAGTGCGACAACTCCGTGACATTTTTGCGTTGGAGCATCTGAAAAATGAACTTCTGTTTCACTAAAAAAAAAGATCTGTTGTTATAAATTTATTTATTTAATTAATGTAGTTTGTGATAAAAGAAATATAATTTGATATTTATATTTTGTAATTCAACTTAATGTGATATTTGTGGAAACAATCTTCCATATGCATCCGTGGCTTATTTGGACATGTGTCACAATATTCGGTTGTTTCCCGTCTTCCGGAATTACCTTTCCGCTTAGAACACACTATACAGTCCTTTTTTATACCTCTTCGCATTACATGAAGTTTTCCATTTAACCTGTCTTCGGAAATGCTGCTGCAACTTTTTTTTGTACGTTTCACCCGGAAACTCTCTATTAGTTCGTCGACCAACTGTTTCACAAATTTCAAGTGTGTTTTTGGTTTTTGCCCATTCTGTTTTTTAATGGTTTTATAGAGGGTATACGCATTGATTATACATATTTCCATCCCCCAAAAAAATAACTTTTGCCACCACTTGAGAGATTTTCTTAGGAAGCAATAAGTTGATCCATATTGATCAGCCCGTTCTACATCACCCATTGAATGTGTGTAGTCGAGCACTACGTTAGGTTTACTGACTATTACTTCTGACCCACCTCGAATATATCTCTTGGTAGATGTCATTCCAATATTATTCCAGGTACTCAATAAAGTAACAACCCTTTTATCCTTCCAAGCTAACAGTGTTATATTTCCTTTTCTTTTAGCAACAGTTGTTCTATTTAAAAATTTTGGTTTTTTATAGTAGCAGGAACACCTTTTCTGTTGGTTTGAATAGTACCTGTTAGGTGGCATTTCATTTGCATTAATTCCTTAGCTAAAGGTAAGCTGGTGTAATACCTGTCTGTGTACAGGTGGTATCCCTCTGCGGTAGGTAGTAGTATAACTTTATTGCCTTCCCCTTAGGGTTACAAGCACTCCTCCTTATCTTACAGCCTTCCTTAAGCCGCGTCCCCACTGGGTCGGCTTTTGCCGTTCGGCACGGCCGATCGGCAAAAGCCGAGAATTGCGTCTACACTGCGTCCGCATCTGTCATCTAGCACGGCCGATCGGCACCCTAAGTACTTCTCGGCAAAGCCAAACACTGCATCGTCTTGGATAGCATGGCTTGAAAAGCCGACCGGCATGCCGACGAGTCGATCGGCACGATGTCGGTAACCATCAAAAGAGATCGTGCCAAGACACGAGAGCACGAAAGTTTCATGTCAATTTCGTTCCAAAACCATCATCGAGATACAAAGATACAGGAACTTTAAACGTTAATAACTTTTTAACAAAGCCTCCATCAACAAATTGGTATTCTTTCGCGATCGAACGGAAAATTTCACAGCGCGACGATTGCTACCTCCAGTTCTGAAAGGCCCAGGCAGGGCCATAAAGCCCCGTCTTGTAACCAAATATGGTCATAGGCGAAAGATTTTTTCCTCGTGCCCATATTTTTGCATAGTCGATGTTTCCGGAGCCCGTTTCTTCCTCCGATACGCGATTTTGGGGGTGTCAACCGAATTTGGTATTAACTTTTAGCTCGACCGATTGGTCATCGACTAAGGGAAGGAGGACCCATTTTCACACCCCGTTTGGGAGGAAAACTCTTTCCTCATACCTGAACGTGGTGGAGGAAGACTTCCAGGTCACCCCCAGAACGAGGGTGCCCGAGGTTTTCTCCCCAAGTCGAAGGCTACGTTAATTTATCGAAGAAAAAACGGGACTCCGGATTAGGACGCGACGAGTGGCCGCGCGTGTTTGACAGCTGTTTTATGGCTATACACAACGATTTGCAATTTTTTTTCTCCGTTGAAAAATTTAGACACCTAATTGGATTTTCAGTAAGGAATTTTTTTCTCGAAAGTGCGTACGATTTTGGAGGTATGTGTAATGATAAAAAATGATTGTAATTGATCCCCGCAACCGAAAATAATTTTTTTAGAACGATTTGAAAAATTTTTTTTCGCCGAAAAATTTCAGCACCTACTCGATTTTTTTTCTCGAAAGTAGATAGGATTTCGGAGGTATGTGTACTCACCAAAAATGATTGTAGTTGACCCCCGCAACCGAAAATAATTTTTCCAGAACGATTTGAAATTTTTGAATTTAATTGTTAATAACTTTTTAACAAAGCTTCCATCAACAAATTAGTATTCTTGATTTTCGTCTTATTTTGGCCTCTACTATCGCTCATTAAAATTTTTGCTAGAGGTGGCCGAACACCCTGTATATTCTTCTGCTACGTAAACTCGGACGCATCCAAAATCTTCGTTTTTTAGGCATTTTTTTTGCATTTGCTATTACTATAACTGCAGCAGCACCAGTTATTACTTCGTCGTCACTGTACATTTTTTGTGTACTGAAATGGCTTTGCCGCGGTGCATAGCAGTGGCACGGCCGTGCCGCCTTTTGCCGAACGCTGTGCCGATCGGCAAATGCCGAGCCGTGCCGACCCAGTGGGGACGCAGCTATCGGCAAATGCCGAGCCGTGCCGATCCAGTGGGGACGCAGCTTTACAACCTTCCTTAACCTAACTTATCTCTTACTCTTACTCTACCGCTCCGCACGCTTTTCCCCCTTTCTCTCATTCCGCTCGCTCTTAACCTACTCTTAAGCTACTCTTAACCTACACACTCTCTCTCTCTCTCTCTCCTTAATTCTCCCCTACGCCTCTACTTCCGCTCGCCCTCCCCGCCTTCGACTTCCATTTCCACTCTTTCACTCCATTCCTTCTTTCGCTCCTTCCTTCCTTATTACCTCCCTCCTTCACGCCCCCTGCCCCCCCTTTCCGCCTCTCTCTCTCCTCCTTCCCTCCAGCCTCTTTATCCAAACCTCTCCTCCCCCTCCTTCGTCTAAAATCTCCCTTATCTTTTCCCCGATCCCCTTCCCCTCTGCCTCATCCCCTGTACCTACATCTCTCCAAGACGTGCTCCCACGTCTCTTCCTCCCCTCCACATACCCTGCATCTCCTCTCTTCCTCCTCCCCCCAATATCCCCCCCCCTCATTTCGTTCCCCATCCTATACCTTGCTAGTCTCCCATACCTCACCTCTCCCCACCATGTCTTCAGGTACCTCGGTATCTCCCCTACCACCATCTCTCTATACCATTTATTGTACCTTGACTGCGCAATTTTTCCCCTCCCTCTGCGGTAGGTATTTTTATCTATTATTTTTTTAAAAAGATGTAACGGAATTCTTGTGCTTATTGGTAAATCAGGTCTAACAAAATTTTCAGAAGTTATACTTCCGTAATACGGAAGTATATTGTATATGTAAGCCGTTTCTGAATCTGCTAGCACAAAAATTGTTATACCCCATTTTGTAGGTTTCTTAGGATTATATGTGATGAAAGCAACTCTACCTTTGAATTTCACTACAGACTCGTCAACACAAATGTTTTGACCAGGTATAAAATATTCCGAAAATTTCGAATTTATGTATTCCATAAAATTGCTTACTTTTTGTAATCGACTTCTTAGGTCCTTGTTTGCTGGATCAGGTGTTTTGAGGTGCAGCATCCAAAATATTTGGTTGAATCTACTTCTTGTAAAAATGGCTGGGAAGAAAGGAATTCTACTATTTTCATTTGTCGACCAATATTCCTGCATGTTTGAAATTGGCATTGTTCCCATATTTATAACAACCCCAATAAATGCCCAGAATTCATCTCGTTCCACATCTTTCCACGTTTGCCACATAGAGTTTTTGGTTATTGTTTTCGAATTCAATTTTTTTGGGGTATAGCTGTTGGTTTCTTTTATGATTTCATCAACTAACTCGTCTGTGAAAAACAATTTGAAAAACTGTGAAGGTTCTAGAACACTTGAAGAAACTTGTGGTCCCACAACATTAGGTGCTACTGTAAAATCTATTCTGCCTGCTGGAACTTCATCACTCTCTGTAATATCTTGCCAATTGTCGTCATCTTCATCTATTTCTGCAGAATAACTACCAATGTCATCAGTATCACTCTCAATAACACATAGTTTCCGTTTCTTTTGTACTATTACGTCGCTATCATCACTGCTATCAGTATCAGTATATTCACTTTGTTGGGTATTATTTTCAACTAAATTGTCTACAAAAAATTCACTATCAATTTCATTAGCACTTTCGTTTTCACTGATCTCAAAACTTTCCCAATAATCTCCTTCTTCCATGTTTTCTCAAGGGTAAATCTATCTAATATAAAATAAAATTCAAAATTCACTAAGAAATAATGCACAGCAACTTTGAACACAGAATCTGCTAGTCATTGAACGCAAACTACACTGGTTTTTCTAACTGCACTGAAAGCAACTGGCGCAATAGCGGCGCCGACGGAGTTAGTGCAATGAAAGCATATGGCGCAATAGCGGCGCCTACAGAGTTAGTGCACTGATAGCACTGGCGCAATAGCGGCGCCTACGGAGTGCAAAGCCGAGATGCTCGTGCGGAGGGGCTCCGGGGTCGCGAGCGTCACCTCCGATCTTGTGGTGTGCGGCACCTGACTTGTTTGTATTGTGCGCATTACCTCTAATTCGCGCCTTGCCAGCTCTGCCTCCCGAATAGCCATCTCCTTCTCCTTTTCCAGAAGCTCGAGACGTAATTGCATTAGCTCCATTTCCGTCGCTCGGGTCGTGGTGCGTGGTATCTGTATCATGTCGTCCTGTACGGATGCCTCTTCTCCATCGGCAACACCTTCCAGTTCGCCTCCTTGGTCGAGCAGTCTTGCAATCAGCTCGTTCTTCGTCCCGCTTGTGGAAAGGGCTTTTTCCCGCAGGAGCTCCTTCAGTCGCGCCGTAGTGAAATCTTGCAACAGTCTTCCTTCCATTTGTGATTGTGTTCTTTCGCGCACTCTCAGATCGATGTCTAGATCCCGGACGAGCCCCCAAATGTAGGATCAGAAGTGTAAAATCTGCCTTTTTTAATTCACATGCACGAATTGGAAAAAAACACAATCAACGTATAAATTAATTATAATCGAAACACAACGTATCAACGTATAAATTAATTATAATCGAAACACAACGTAACATGCAACGTAATAGACGTTCGTAGCGTAATCCTCGTGATCGACGTTCACTCTCAAAAAAGCCCCTCTCTTTCCCGGACTCGCGCTTTTATCCCCCAGCTCCCGAACACTTGCCGGTTTCACGTCCGGTCAAGTTTCGAGAACGTTCTCGTCGTTTCGCATCAATATCGCGTTATCATAGTCCATGCACTCATACATTCAATCATGCAATCATTTAGAGTCGACACATTCATGTAATTCAATCATTCCAGAACGTTCTTGACATTTCGCATAGTTCCTCATCCGGTATTACTTCTCGAATATTCCTAACGTTTCCAAACATTCCGTCTCTAAGGTCATTGCACTCATACATTCAACCATTCAATCAGAGTCGACACATTCAGTTCACTCAGCCATTCACTGCGATCGATACGATACAACGAAGAACGCTCATCTCCTACACAATTGATAATGAATAATTAATACTTGAACATAAAAATTACCAACGTCTCAACTAGTTACGTTTGAGCGTGGTCTATGGCTATCTAGTTATTTCGTATCTAGTAACTATGCCTAACATAGGGCCGAGGGGTCGGAGTGGGGAGACGTACGCTACGGGGACGTTACAATAGCGACGAGGGCCAGAGTGGGGAGACGTACGCGACGCGGACGTTACTGCGAACATTTGACATTTAAAATTGATACATTAGGTGAGGTGGCAATCAGAATGGCGAGAATAACGGCGGTAAAAGAGTGTTTAGAAAAAGCATTGCGGGATGAGAATAAATTCTGGACAAAGTATTTCACAAAAATTGAAAGACAAACTGGAGTTGATCGACTTTATGTGTTTTTAGGTATGTACATTAGATTATTCAAAGCGCTTTAGGTTAGTCTTTGTAGTTACGTACACGAATTGATACATTCTCGCTTTACGTAATGAGAATCTGTTGTAAATTTTCCTTAGTATGCGTGATAATTCCGTTGCATTATAATACTCGGAACACTTCAATTCGTGGAAATTTTTGACATGTTTTATTTTTACATCGCAGTAGTGTTATGTAAAAGGAAATTAATGAAATTCTTTCACGTTAAATTTTATCCCAATATTTGAATATTCAATACGATATTGATAGTGTAAAGAATATCTTAACGATTTGCACATTACGAAAGTGCAGTTACTCAGTCAAAATCCTATAAAACACATTGTAGGAAGAGATGGTTTAGTATAATTACATGTGAAATAACGGAACATTCCTAACAAACGGCCCGTTCAACGATCAGGGTGAGTTATACGTCATTCGATTCGTCTAATTTAGTACATTATTGATATGCATTTCATTATCTGCAGAAATTCATTTTTTTATAAACTTCTTGGAAAAGTTACAGTAAAAAGTAAGATTAAGTATATTTTAACAGGTTCACAGGTGGAAACAAGTGGCTGCCATTACTGTGTTCAAAATGCCAGGTAATCAAATGCTAATTTGTTAAACATTTATTGAATAAAATCACCATTTTCCTATTAGGTACATTTGCTAAATAGATAATGGCTCAGGTATCCAATGAAGTCACTCTTCTTGAAAATATAAAATATTAATAGTATTATATGTTATAAAAAAGATTAAAAAATGTGTGGCATGCCTCCAAGTGGTTTCAATTTAATTCGTGTAAGCATCAGTATGGGATCTTCAAAATTGATGCTGTGATTAATTTTTAAATGGCCTCTGTGATATTTTCTACGACAAAATGTTGATTCATCAATCTCGACAATCTACTCTACCCTTCCAATTGCTGTGCAGTATTTTTATTTAATTTTAGTTATATAATAATATGACATTGCTCATAATTATATGTTAGCATATATGTTAATTTTAAAACATCTGTAGCTGAGTTTGTTTTTAGAAAACCATGTTCTTTGCTTTGCAAATACCTTTATATTACAACGTCTTTTACATTTATTAGGTGTCGAAATAAGTTCTTTCCGATTTTTTGGTAAAGTAAACATTTTATTTAGAAAAAAGTATAGAAAGTTAATCATCAAAATATTCGCCATTGTTTTCTATGATCTTTCGCCACTTTTTGGGTAAATTACGAATTCCCTCACGATAAAAACTCGGTGGCATTGAGGCAATGTATTCGTCCAGGTGTTTTTGAACGTCTTCAAGAGTTTTGAATTCTGTATCAGTTAGATGATGCTGTAACGAGCGAAACAGGTGGTAGTCTGAAGGTGCCATGTCAGGAGAGTACGCCGCATGTGGAAAAAGTTCTCAACCTAATGAAAAAATCACCTCTTTTGTCCCTGCAGCCGTATGCGGACGAGCGTTGTCGTGAAGCAATATCAATTTGCGTCGGCGTTGTCCAGATAATGGCCTTTTTCTTTCGATCGCGTCATTCACTTTCAGAAGTTGCTGTTGATAGCTATCTGCAGTCACTGTCTCACCTGGATTAAGCATTTCATAATACAGAATTCCCTTCATGTCCCACCATATGCAGAGTAACACCTTTTTTGCATGAATATCAGGCTTTGCGGTTGGTGTTGCTGGTTTGCCAGGGTCTACCCATGATTTTTCCCGTTTAGGATTCCTATACAATATCCATTTTTCATCACCTGTAATGATCTGATATAGGAAATCTTTTTTATTGAAGCGACTTACAAGGAACCATCGCGAACGGTCCGGCTTCGATTTTGATGAAACTTTGTACACTTATAAAGCAGCCAAAAATAATCGACACGTATTTTTTTTTAGCTGCGGTAACTCGAGTTTAAGGGGTGAAACCACCCCTTGAAGTTTTGGCTCGAAACGGCTATCTCGAAAACGGAAAGAGATACAAAAAAATTGTTAATAGGCGAGGTTGATGGTTTCTTATGTACAATAACATGGTGTTAAAAAATTTTTTAAAATACAATTTGTTTATAACAAAAAAAAATTTATTAACTTAATTTTTCATTTTATTGAAATTTTCATAATGACAAAAAATGACGAGCATTTTATTCCAAATCCATTGGTATGCGATTTTTTAAAATTGCCTCCTACAGTTTTGCAGATTTTGATGATTTACATCTTGCGCGCACATCCATTATGGTAGTAGCCGTTCTAACTTTGATTTTAATGAAGCACTGTAGGCTTGCACTAAATTATACAGTAACAAGTAACAAGTAACAATAACAGTAACAAGTTTCTTAACAGCAATGAAAAGATTTTTTTTTATGCCCACCTATGACATTGTGGCAAAGGTGGAGCGATTTATAAATTATAAATACATACAGTGTGTATACCAGGAGATAAAGATACACTTATTATTCTCATGATGTACTTGCTTTAAAATACAAATTGAATAAATAAATATTGTCATTTCTGCGGCTCGCCTATCATGCAGTTTACGCACGTTATCTAAATCTTCACTGTTGTGAAAGCATTCTGTGTAATTTGTATAATAAAAATACGTGTCAAATGAGATTAGTATGTGCATCTGTATCTCTGTTGTTATTAACATTCTTTAAAATCGAGACGGTTTTTGTAATAAACATGATAAAATGGGTATATTGAAATGGAGTTTGTATTATACCTCTTGATAACGTGACATATCGTAAAGTTAATTAAATTGATTGCCCTTGTCATGTGAAAATAATATTTGTTGGTAGATAAGTGGGAGAACTTGGATATATACTTTTAAAAAGATGTTTAGATTAGTGTCCAGAAAAATTACCAGATTTGTAACCACAAATATGGTAAATCGAGGAGACGATATTCATTTGCAATGCAGCGCATTCGTGAATGAAGTACAATCATATATAGCCCGAAATGAACCACACAATGTTTACAATTCCGATCAAAGTGGTTTTAATTTGGAATTACATTCAGGGCGCACTTTGGCTGAAGAAGGTATAAAAATCGTAGAAGGAGGTGTTCAATCAGTGTCATCCACCACTCATAGTTACACCATCCAGCCAACCATTTCAGCTGATGGACAATTACTGTCACCATTATTTATTGTACTGAAAGAGAGTACAGGACATTTCGGGCCGATTGTGGAACAACATTTATTTCGCCCTGACAATGTATATCTTGTAGCTTCAAAGTCAGGCAAATTAACTACGGACCATTTCAAGACCTGGTTAAGAGTGATTTACTTCGCAAATACTGGGGCCGCAGCAGTTCTAATTCTTGA